GAAAAAATTATATTTTGTGTATATTTTATTCAGATTTTGTGCTTATCCATAGGACCTGTTTTGTCCCTATTCTCAAGAATCACTGAAAACTAACTTATAAGTCATATTTAGCAAGATGTAGAAACTTGTTTTATGTCAATAATTCCTTTATATTGATAAAGAAATAATAGTTACATTGGCAGATTATTAAACTTATCACAAAACATTTGAAACTTTTTCATCAATTTTAAGGAATTATTTACTTGGCTCCAGTATCTTGCTGAGAAGTTTCACGTCAGTCAGTTTTGTCTTATTTTGAAAGTAGTAAGATAATTACACTAAAAATTAGGCCAGAAATAACTGGTAATATTTTGTGTTTGTACTTTCTTTCTCCCATGTCCGTACCTTTTCATGCTGTGGATGTTCTCCTGTCAATTCTCTCGCTCTTCCAAAAAGATAACTGGCCTAAATGTCAGAAAGAAGAAACGTCACGATGATCTCAATGCGGTCATCTCTGTAAATCTGTCATAAATAAAAACTTCATACCAGCGGATCTTCTTCGTCTGTATCCGACGGTTCTGCGTCGCCGTCTTCTTCAACAGTGCTCTCATCCTTCTGGGATTTAAAAACAAACAAAACATTGGATTTTTTCTATATTTTCTTTCAAAAAATTAAAAAATAAACTTTTTAAAATGTGAAACAGCCAGAAGCTCAACATTAAATCCAAATTTAGAGATTTGGAGTCAGAAGAGTTAGAATCTGGATTCTGAATTGAATCTGGATGATGATGTAATTATTATTACTAACATTATATTAATGATAATTGTTACCTCATCTGGATCTTCTGTGTCACAAGCTCGTCCAGGATGATCAACCTGAGAGACAGCACAACGTTGTGATTTAACATGAGAATAAACTTCCAGAAAACTGAAAAACTGCTGAAACACTGATTTCTTTTAAATCAAAGCTAAAAACCCAAAAGTTTAGAGTTTATTCTTAACCATAATAAATTGTATATTGACCAACATATTTGATGTGTATTGATTATTTTGATGTTGGAAATCAACAAAATCTAAATCGGTGACTGCACATTGTTTCGTTACTTTTAATTTTTGTGTTTTTATGACGTGAAGCACTTTGAACTGCCTTGTTGCATAAATGTGCTAGAAAATTAAACTTGATTGACTAAATGAGCTTTAAAAGACTGATTCCACTGAATTGTTTATTTGCAATTTTTAATGTATTTCTAATATTATGTAGAGAAAGCTTCAATGGAAAATATGCAGAATGTGCCATTTTTTAAAAATCTTATCATTAGAAATAATAAATGTTGCATAATTACAAATCAAACAAAAGCTAAAAGTCGCCAAGCATTTGTATTCAGACCCCTGAGTCGGCATTTTGTAAAACCACCTTTTGTCTTCAACTTTGCACAAACAAGGACTAAGGTTTTTTGCCTTTTCTTCTTTGCAAACAATTTGTAAAAAGTGATTTTCAATTTTTACCAGATGATTTATGTCTGGCCTTTGACTAGGCCATTTTAAATAAGAATGATTAGATCTCAATCCTTCCATTGTAGCTCTTGCTGTGTTTAGCTTTCCTGCTACTTTTGTCGAGTCAAACTGGATTTTTTAACCCAATTAGTTCTGATCAGCTTTTCTGTCCCAACTGAAACATCAAGCCATAAATGAGGCGGCCATCATGTTTTATTGTGAGCTCTGTCTGTTTAGGGAGATTTGAGAAGATCAGATCTCATTCTTCTCCATGTTAGCTATGCAGTGGTTTTCTTCTTCTCATCCACTGATGTGAGCAGCTGTTCTTTCTTCCACCTCCACAGTTACTTCAGGCCTCTTGGTTGCTCCTCTCATGTCCAGGTTGATCTGCAGTCGGTTCGTCCTCTCAGAGATCTGAGACACGTTCAAAGTTTAAACTCCTCCACATCTTTCTCCCTAACCTCTCTGATGTGTTTGTTCTCTCAAAAGCACAGCTGCATTTCACTGATTTAAACTACACACAGGTGGGACTCCTACTGCAACAAAAAGGGGCTGAATACAAATGCACGCCACACTTTTCAGATTTTTATTTCGTAAAAACCAGGTCTCATTTTTCCGTTGCGTCACAATGATGCACCAGTTTGTGTCCAATGAAAACACACTGAAGCTTGTGGTTAAAAAACACAAAAAGAAATGCAGGAAACAATGGGTTTGAATGTTTTATGATTATTTACATAAATGTATTTTACCCTTTCCTGGTCCTCTGCTTCCCCTGTTGATCTGGCAAACAGGAAACTGGACTAAAAGTCAGAGAGAAGAAATCCTATCAGAACCGAGAAGCAATGGGTTGAATGTCTGTAACAAATCCGTTTTGATTTAGTTTTCACACCATCGGATCTTCGTCGGAGTCGGACTGTCCCGTGTTGTCTCCCTCTTCACAGCTGCTGTTCAAGTCTCTCTGGGGTTTAAAAAGAAAACACAGTAACCAATCTTCCTTCTTAAACTTTAATAAGGTGCTTATAAGCATATTTTACCATTTCTTTATCTCCGCTGTGGAGAGTTGGTCTGGATGACTCCAGCTCTTCCTTTGAAGGTTTGGATTCAGTGGAGTTGGAGTCGGTGTTTCCAGCTGCAAGCAGCACCTTGCTGAGGAGATCCGGCTGCATTTCAACATGACAACAGAATTAATTACTCTCAACTCTCAAGCAAATCAAATGTTTTCATGCGTGTGTTTTGACTTTACCTTATCAGGGTCGCCATCTTTTTCACTAGCAGGACCAGCAGCATCAGCCTGAGGAACCAAAAGACCGAATCAAAAGTTATTTCTGATGTATTTTCTACTGGAAGGATTATTTAACTGTAGCTTTGTGATCTCACATTTTAAAAAAAACATGAGAAAATTGTTAATTAAATCAGAACACATTTCTTTAATGGAGAAAATAATCCCAGATATTAACAAAATGATGAAGAGAATATTTATTGGTGTGCTAACATAGTCCACTTATTATGGAAGAAAATTAGGGCCACTGAAAACAATTAATTCTTTCACAAAAAATGTCAGAATTTTGAGTAAAACAGGTCAGAATTCTGACAAAAGAATTTCATTTTTTCCCTTCAAAATTCTAAAAACAAAACTGGTCAAAATTTAGACTGTTTTTCTGAGAGAAAAAGCCTCACAAAAAGTCAACATTTTGAAAGAAATAAGTCAGACTTAAATCTTTTTTTTAAAAGAGAATTTTAATTTTTTTCTGAGTTTAGTTTGAAACAAAAGGGAGAATGTGAAAATGCCTCTATAGTTAAGCACAGCAGAAGATCTGTGATCCTGTGGGCCTTCAACTTGTTAAGAGTTTGAAATACGGAGATTTTAAAATAAAACATATGGTTGCTTCTGTCAAAATCACCAGAATTCAATCACTGGGTCTGTCATTGTGTGATTAAATCAACGGAGAAATGGTTCAACACAAAATAAGCCTACCATTAATTCATCTCTAAAAGGTTTCTGCTCATATTTTTAACTATGGATGGTGCTGTATAAATTATTTTGAGCAAAGATATCTGCCTGCTGCTTGAAAAACAATAAACACTAACCCAGAAGGCAAGAAATCATAATAAGAAGTCAACATCTTATATAAAGGAGCAGAATATTAAATAAGAGTCTCTGTTATTCCCCTTTGTTTTGCAGTCAGAGTGAATAAAAATATCCAGTTTTCTGTGTGAATCCTTCTGCTCACCTCATCCAGGATTTCCCAGTTTGTCCTCTCTTCATACTTTCTTTTCCGCGACAGCGTGGCTACAGTATTGAACCGTTTCCATTTGATCACAATGTTTCTAACTGTGGAATGAGGGATCTGTAAAGTCTTTGAAATTAATTTATAACCCTTCCCGGCGTTGTGCAGCGCAACTATTTCCGACCTGACACGAACCGGAATCTCGTTCCCACGAGGCATTTCCCTTAAATTTAGTAAAAAAAATCAGCTATTATTTAAATGAACCATTTTTATTTTACTGTTTTTGTTAGCAAAAGGAAGCGCTATGGGTCCGTTGTTTGTTTGTTTTTTAACTTCCGGCCTAGAACGGAAGTGCGAATTTACACAGTTTATTACGCCGGGTTATTTAATTTTTTTTTTTTTGTACGCATAAAACCTTTCAGAACAAGTTTATTTTCTATAATTAAACGAGAAGTAAAAAATAAACATATATATACGTAAAAAAAATAGAGAAACCCGGGTGGTGCGTTCAAGTTCCCTCTGATAGCGGAACTCCGAGCAGGAATGACGTCACACGCGAGTCGAACGCTTTCCACAAACAAGCAGGAAATATTGTTAATGTACCCGTTACAGGGCAAACCAAGATAAGAGTCACAATTCCCACTTTTTCTCAAAAGTATCACTTTAAGAGGAAAACTGATTTTTCGGATTTAAATAATTTTTTGCACGTGGCCGTTTTCTGTAATTAAAGACATTATTCTGAGATTAAGGTCTGATATATTTGTTTTGTCATAATCCTCTTCCTCTTCCTACGGTTTTTATGAACAGGAGCCATATTCAACTTGAACATTTAAGAGGGCTTTCAGGCAAAACTGTAAATCTTGTACCCAAATTCTGGTTAAACATTAAATATGACAGCAATTTGAAATATAAAAGCAGGATTATTATTGGAAGGTTTATTTGCAGATTTCACTAAACATCAGAAAGACGGGTGGATGGATGGATAGTTTCTAAAATATTTTTTTTCTAGATGTCAGAAAATGCTGTTAAAAGAAGAAGTAAATGAATGGTTGCTGGGAAGACGTAGCTGGATGACAGATGTGCATGAATGGATGACGGATGATCGCTATTATTAACTGTCCTTCCTGCAAAATATCTCAAAATTAATCCATTTCATAGTGAAGAAATATGAAATATCCAACCTTTAATCTGTGTTGAGCAAGATCACAAGCTATTTTTTGGCCCAAGGGGCGTAAAAGGCGTGGGAAAGCCCTGACTAGAGAGAGATGAAAACCATCTGTGAGCGAGAGCCTCTTTAACCGCAGTGATTTCCTTTGTTCGGACGATCAGAGCAGCTAAAAAAAGCTCCACTTTCCCCTTGAATCCTCCTCACCTCATCCAGCTTTTCTTTCCGTTTCCTTCTAGGATTCCCCTTCGAGGGTCTCCCACTTCGTGGCAGCGTGGCTACGGTGTTAAACCGTTTCCACTTAACGATAATGCTCCTCACCGTGGAAGGAGGAATCTCTAAAGTCTTTGAAATGAACTTGTAGCCCTTCCCAGCTTTGTGCAGATCGACAGCTGTCGACCTGATGCCTTCGGGGATTTCGCTTCCACGGGGCATTTTTTCCAGATAACTGGTGAAATCCACGATTATTTTTAGCTGCAACTTCCCCCCTTTTTTTATTTACTTCTGCTAGCAACAAGGAAGCGCTCCGTTGGATCTGATGCTTCCACTTCCTGTCTTCCCCGGAAGTACGATTTTCCTTTTTTTTCTAACAGGATTTTAAAAAGAAATTATTCACTAAATATCAGTTTTTAATATTCTAAAATAAAACGTAAAAGCTGGAATATTAAATATGAATACGTCTGAGGAATACGCACGGAAATGTATCTCAAATTAATGCTAAATTTCAACGTGTACACGTTTTTTTTTTCTTTTTTTGCTTAATCTTGATTTGTAATCGCAAAAAATGACAAAAAGACACAGGATGCAGACGGTTGTGAAAAATAAAAATAAACCATTTTAAATTTAATTTTGATTTAAATCAAGTATAATTTGAGGATTAGCAGAGACACAAATGTGACGTTATTTTAATTAGAAGCCTAATCTTACAAAATGAAATGCTACTTTTTGGATTTTTTTTTGTTTGTTTTTAAGGTTAAATACAAAATATAGTAATTTTCTGAAATATGTTTGTCAAAGAAATGGCAATCCTGCTGTATTTCAGGTTTTGCTTAATTTTCATCTTTAAATAATAAAATAAAACAGTTCTTACATACAATATGAGCTCAACAAATCCAGTCTGGAGGTTTTAAAATTAAAGATTTATTTCTTATATCACACAGACAAAATTGCATGAAATAATAACTTCACAGAAACTGAAGAAACCTGAACATACATGCACTAAAATCTGGTGTGTTTTAAATCCTTAATCTAATATAGACCACAGAGATGAACACACAGCACGACATGTTATGGGTTTTCTCAATTTATAAACATGTAACTTATTTATTTCCAAATTCACTCAAACGCATGTGCCTGTAGGTGTGTGTATGTGCCGTGAGGCTGACTGTGGGCGCTGCTCTAGGTGTGGATGGGGAGATTTTGAGGAGGTTCTGCAGGCAGGTTGTTTTGGGCTTCAGCAGGAACCTTGATCTCTGTGAGGAGAAGAAGAAGGAGAATCAGTTAATGAGCTCCAACAGCGACAGAACAAACCAAATCAGCTGGAACCAAAACTGCGCTTCCATTAACCATAGGAAGGCGCAAATTAAAATTACAAATATAAATCTGCTTAATAGAAAAATACAAGTTTCTAAAAACACATATTGCGCTGGGATGAGGTCATTTTTTTCAGCCGTATCAACATTTTATTCTGCAAGTAGAAGATGCTACTACTGGTGGAAACGACAAAGAAGACGACAGGAAGCGAGAGGAGGACGATGTTTTTCTTTGTTTTTTCTTAACGTGGAGCTCACAGCATCGCACAGTTCATAAGAAGTGGTGCGTCATTTCACAGCTCTTCTGTAAAATGGCCGTCTACGATTTCCCCAAAACGCCGCATACGAAGCTGCTACATTCCTAAATAAAACGCCGACATCTACCCTGACTGGCTGATAGATGATGAGCTTTAGCATGAACATATCATAGTTTTTAATGATTTATCACATGAACAAAATGATTAAATATCCACAAAAGGTAAATTGTGTGGGGTTTTTTTTGACATTAGCAGAATATAGACAGAGATTTGGGCACATCGGTATCGGAAACGCAGCCATCAATGAGCTTCACCTTCAGGTTTGTGTGTTTGTGGCTGAAACTGCAGCTGTCCGTTCAGACCAGCAGGCGGCTGCCCGTTGCCAGCTTCCTGCTGCTGTTTCTGTCTCTGGGACATTTCTAAAACGGCCTGGAAGTAGAAAAAAATTAACATTTTGAATTATTAACACAGATTCTTGACTCCCATTCAAGTTCTTTAGTTTTCTTCAACATTTACCTGCTGATACTCTCTTTTCTGCGCCTCCAGGGCTTTGCCTCTCTCCCTCAGCAGCTCCTGCTCCTGACGAAGAGTCTCCGCTTTCCTCTTTAGCTCCTCCTCTTTGTCCCTCAGCTCAGCTTCGAATCGCTGCAGCTCTTCCTCGGTGTACAGCGGTTTAGCGTCCAGTGTCTGTGAAAAACCAAGGAAATGGTAAATACAAAATAATTGGTACAAATCAAACAATTTTCATTTACATGGTTTACTGTCATTTTCAGTCTGGTGCCTTGATTTCAGCCAGTCCTTTTTTTAAGGACAATTTTGTTTTCAGAGACCTCATAATTCATTTATTTGTCGTTTCTGTTGTTTTGTTGATTTATTTTATATATCAAAATGTCTTCCAGTTCCAGTGTTTAAATGTTTGTTACAAATTTACATTTATTGTGCTTCAAGAAATGTTCTTGCTAGAAAATGGACTCAAAACAACAATATTATCATTTATTGTGATAACTTCTGGGACAATTTATCATCCAGAAAAATGTGGCACAGCTAGCCTAGCAATAATGCTAATTTCTATCTCAATTTTGTGTCTCAATGATGTTTTAAAAAATTTGGGGGCTCGTCCGGGATTCTGTAAAACTCTAGTCGGGATTGATCCACTGTTTTATATGGGGAGACATTATTCCCATATTATTTCACTTATAACATGGGAATAATGTCTTTTTCACAGTGAATTTATCTGCTAATGAAACATGTAGTTTTTCACTAAGAAATTATTCACTTGAAAGAAGATCTTATAACTTGCTGAAAAATTACTTCTGAATTAGTTTTCTTTATTTCAAGTTTACTAAAATATTTGCACTAGAAACTAGACCAAAACGCACTTGGCCAGATTTTGTTTTTGCAGTGCAGGCCATCAAAACTGTTATTTATACTGTTTTTCCCTGCTAGAAAATCAATAAAATGGGAAAATGGACGACAATATGTTTGACCACAGTTGCCTAAAAAAGACTGAAAAGAAGATCTGAATACTTTTTATTGTCTCTTTAATGAGTACTACAATAAATACTACAAAATCTTGCTTTAAGTTTTTAAGAAAATATCACCTGTTTCTAATATCTATATTTTAGTGCATGTTTTATCATTTTGGGAGGAAAGAAGAGAATTTATAACTAAATGTATTCATAAAAGCAACAAGTTTGAGTTAAATTATTATTTTAACTTCTTCACACGCTAATCCACCGTTACCTCCCACTCTTTGGGATTACTGAACTCCTTCTTCTCCGTGGATTTGAGGAACTCCTCCAGGCTGACGAGGCGATCTTTATTTAAATCCACCTGTTAAAACACAAGCAGACGATCTGCGTTAGTCAAAGCAAAACGAGGGAAAACCGGGAAAAGCAAAGCAGAAGAAAGAGACGGACATTTTTCATGACATGCTCCCTCATCCGCAGCCTCTCTTCCTCCATCTCCATCATGTCGTCTTCCTCGTTCTTTGGGTCGTAGACTTTCTCCAGCTACATGTTGAAAGACGTGAGCAGCTATTCTGAGAACAGGTGCATTTTTAAACATGTGATTTTTAAAATTACAAGAAAAAAACTGAAGGATTTCAAACCTCTTTGGTGAAAAGAGCCTCTAATTCCTGCTCATCTAAAACTCCGTCTTCATTTGTGTCTAGTGAGGCAGAGTGGATATAGAAACTGTTTATATCAGACTGGATTTATCAGCATTAAATAGAAGAAAAAACAAATACAAAATAAAACACACAATAATATTTAAAATGTATTTTTTTAAAATGAAAAACTGCAACTAAAAAGGAAAATTTTATTTAAAAAATATAAATTTTTAAATATAATAAAAAGAATAGAAGTTACACCCCAAATTTGAAAAATTTCAGGTTTTTCAATCAAAAGTTTTGCCCTGGGATCAGGTTCTTTTTGTTTTGGCCGAAGCGATGTATTTTGAGAAACTTCAACAATAAATTAATACAAAAATAAATATTAAATAGAAATAAAATAAACATTTTTTATATTTTTCTATTCTTAAATAGGAAGAAAAAGAAGAAAACATAATTTAAACGGGAACTTTGAAAAAAAAAACTAATGTTTTCAACAAATGGTTTTTGCAGTAAAACAAAAGTTAAAATCATAAATAAAAATAAATGAATTTTTTTTTTAAGCAAAAAAGTAAAAGGATAACAGTTAATTTCGAAAGAACTCGTATTTTTCAATAAAAAGTTTCTGCACTAAAAGTAAAATCATAAATAAATGAATAAAATTATTTTTTTTTAATTAAAAAAAAAGGAAAAAACAAATAGAAGTTCAAAGGTTAAGCTACCATGTAGTTTGAAGAAAGTTTTGGGGTTGAACTCTTTAGGATCCAGCCCATCCGTTTCCTCCCAAACCTCCCGCAGCTGAGCGACGCTGCCCTGATTGTTAGAAACATCAGCGTCAACATCCCATCATCGCCGTGGAAACAAACGGCTGAAGACGGCGGTTTCCGCCACTCACCGGCGCGTTGACTTTAGGATGCTGCCGGTGTTTCTCCTTCAGCTCCTGCAGTCGTTTCTCCTCCTTCTCCCTCTTCTCCTGGTCCAGGCCCTTCAGGTACTCGCGCCTCTCGTGCTCCTTCAGCATCTCGTAGCGCTTGAACTCCTCGTGCCTCTCCGCGTCGTAGTTCTCCAAATCCTTAGTGGCCTGGATGAGGAGAGAGGTGAGAGGTCAGATGTGAGAAAGGAAGAACGCGTGAAGTCACTGCTGCAGCTTCTTACGGTGGAGATGAGCAGCTCCAGGTCTTTGGCCTCGAAGGTGTTTTGGTTGTGTGGGTCCAGGTGTTCAAACTGCTTCAGCAACGAGGCGTGATCCATCTGCAGACCTGAACCGTACCAACCAATCAGAAACTGAATGCAGATCTCAGTTCTTAGTGGACTAAAGAGGCAAAAATAGCTCAAGGAAATCATGACAAAGTGTTAATATCGTCTCTTCTCTGTTTCTGATCTGTTATTAACAGCAGCTGCGTTTCCATTAACCGTAAAATTACACAAATTTAAACAACAAAAATAAATGTGCTTAATGGAAACATGGCAATTTAAAAAACAAACTAAATTTTAGCGATAAAAAGTTTTTTTGCGCTAAGATAAGGTGATTTTTCAGGAGTATCAAAAAACTTTTCTCACATCACGTCACATGATCAACCGGATGTTACTACTGGTGGAAACAACAAAAGAGACGACAGGAAGTGGTACGAGGGTGATGGTTTGTTTTTGGGT